AGACCACAGATACATTCAAGAAGCAGGTGACGGTGGAAGCAGATCATGGTTAAACATAATTTTCTCTCTACTCATTTTCTCAGTGTCAAACCTTGGCAATAATGACAGAGAAGAGAAGAAATATTGCAGTATCAGGATTGAAATAAAAGAAATAACTGCAACAACACATTTGAAAAAAAAGAAACAACGCAGTTGAAATGCTCGTGTAGGATGCCTAATATAGCTAGGTGAGACAGAATAATATTAGGAAACAATTAGGTATACTCTATAGTTTTGTCAAAAGACAAAGAAGTTTTTTTGAACAGTATTTCGCAACTACCAACAGACAGTGCTCATAAAGAAACAATACTGCTCTCATGCAAAGGGAACAGTTTAACAAAGGCTGTGTCCACAATGCATGGACAAACAACAAAAATCAATGCAACAACACCAGTATGCCTGCATTGTATACCAGAGCTCTTTCCAGAACTCTGTTCATTTCCTGACGCTGCGTGGCAGACAGTTAAAAAAAAAAAAAAAAAAGTTAACACATACCCAGCCGGTATGATATCTCTATTTACATGTTCCCAGTACCTTGTGTAAAGTTGCTAGTGCAAAGAAGTCAGCTGACACAAATGGAAACTTAACTGAGTCTTGCGTGACAATCTTTGATATCTAAGAGTTTTGATTCACTGATAAAATGAAGCTCTTTTCCACTCTATGGCTCTATTGTGTAATGAACATCTTCTTTATAACACATTTTTTTAAAACTTCTCGTTCATGTTCAAACATTAAACAGGGATGTGTACTATCACCCAATTTATTCAATTTGTACAGTTAAATAATAATTATATCTGCTTATGGTATGCCAGGAATATCGGTTGGTGGGGATATTGTTAACAACCAGCCATATGCTGATGACATAGTTCTGATCACTGCAAGCTGACATAGTTAACTGATCACCCTGATAACATGGAAGTGAATCATGGACACTTGGTAAATTAGTGAAAACTTATTTGGAAGCTGTGGAAATGTGGTTTTATAGAAGAATGATGAGAGAATACCCTGGACAGATTAAAAAGAGTTATGAAGACGTCTTGAAAGAAACTGACTCACAAAGAGAACTGATTGCCCACAACAGAAAGAGACAATCTATGTTCTTTGGTCATGTGATGAGAAGGAGAAAAATTGAGTAGATCACAACAGTAGGAAAGTTGGAAGGAAGGAGAGGCCACTACACCATGGCGACTCCTGCACCTGCTATTACGTTTAGCAAATTAATTAACTTATCTATAAAAAAAAAATAATAAACACCAAAGCTAGGAGACAGACTCAGACAAAATTACTTGAAGGCGTAAGCAGGAATTTTGTCACTTCTAGTCATTTGCTGACTTCACATGATACATGACTTTACATGACACATGACTCCAAAAATGACATGATCACAAGAACTGTTGGAACAACACCCATCATCAAATTTATTGAGAAACAAAGAATGAAATGGTTTGGCCATTTAATGAGAATTATACCAACCATGCCACCAGCTAGAAACATTACCTTAAAATCAAAACACCAAGAGGCATGGGAAGACCGAGAAGAAGATGGATTGCAGGAATCACTGACTTCTTGAGACTGCATAGCGTCACGGCATATCAAGCCCTGGCTGGGCTGGCAACCGTCTGATGAACTGTGACGCCTAGCCGCATAAGCAGATATTGACAAAAGAAGAAGACACAGAACATGTGTTTTCAGCATTGTCACTCATGAGCTCTCTGTCAGCTTGTAGTACTGGGCCTTTATATTTGTTGTACTTTATCTTCAGGACAGTAACTATATTATTATTGTAGTATCTAAACATGTTACAATTACTCCAGTACTGACAATGTTGAAGAACAATAAGTGCAAAATGTAATCTTACCGTCGACATATGTACACCACAAGTACAATGATAATGACTAAAAACAAGGCCGCCACGATTGCTAGCACTATGATTGCTATGTAGTCCTCTGCTATGATTTGAGCACTAACTGGTGCTGAGATTGCTGGAAACTTGACCCGCACTAAAGCGGCCTTCTCATAACTTGGCTGTCCCTGGCTTGATACCACCACGGTTATCTCGTATGTGTTCAAGACAAGGGCGCTGGGGTCTGCACTGATAGTGATGATGCCCTCATTGTTGATGGAGAATAGCCTGTCATTGGAGTATATGCATCGTTTTACTTAGAAGGTTATACTAGTGTGAGCGGTTGATGATACTTTTAATGAGAAGTTATCTTCTCTGAGGTGATTTAGTAGAGAATTATGAAAAAACCCAATGGCAGAATTGGAGAAAAAAAGAAAACATTATGAGAAGTGAGGTAGAATGGTAGAAGTCACAAGCATTGTAACGGTGACAATAATAAACATAGTTAAACAGATAGAGAACCAGTAAGGCTGTAGAAACAGCACATATAATAAACAAGTAGATGTGTATTGATCAGCACTCATAGTTAGAAGTAGATAGATAGGAATACCCTAGACAACATAAAAATTGCAAGCTATAGTAACACTGCCAGGAATGGAATCTCTCACCTGCCAATGATGAGAGTGCCTCACACAATAGGTTTCCAATGGCTAAATTCAAAGATGTGAGATTGAATCCTGTCCATGTTCCATAACTGTGGGTTTAAGCTACATGATGGATTTAACTAACAAAGACATCTTTTATAGGGGTGTCTTGTTGGTCATCCATCTTAGTACACATGTCCTGCATTGAAACACTATCCCTATTTGGGGGGTGACAGATTCAATTCCTGGCATTATAAATAATTATAGCTATTTTTATAGGGAAACCAAGAAAGAAGATGTTGGAAATTTAGGCATTATGACATGGATGCAGATAATAAGAAGGCTGGTTAAAGATATATGACCAGTACCAAATGCATAAACTGCCAAAAGTAGAAGAATGTTACAACATTCAAGCTCTCTATCCCATCACATATGATGTTAAATTTACTCATTTGAATGTGACTGCATAAGACGGCTTTGACATTTTATATTTAAAAGTTACTACTACATGCACACAAGTATTGATAAGGCTGATATAGTCAACACTGTAGAAACCTGGCTGGAGATAGGCATAAACCTCTTATGTTAACCCAACTACATGATCTAAGAGGGAAGCTTAGACAAGCACATCTAGAAAATCTATGAGGTTAAGACAGGAGATCTTATACTCAACTTCTCATAAAAACATTGATCATAGATACTTTGCGATGGCTGCTGCATCAGAGGAATGATCAAATGTAGGGATACATTATGTTATAACATAACTTTTCATCATTATGTGCATATCTGCTCATGTCTCTGCACAGATCTTTGTTTAATGATATTCTGAATTCATTCCACTGATGATATTCCTCTATGCCATCGCTTCAGGCCATCAAGCTTTGATTTTCTTGTTCTGACAGAAGATTATTGACTGCCTCTTTCTTATAATTGTATATGTTTGTCTAATTTCATAAGCCATTTCTAGCAGAAGGAATTGGACCCAGTGAAGGGTGACAGACTAAAAAGGGTCAGATCCTGGATGGCCCAGGTTGAGAAGACAATCAACAGGGTCTGCAACATTCAAGAAATTGGCAGAGGAGAGGAATGGGAAAAGGTACCAGAAGTAGAGAAGAGCTGCACAACGTGGTAATTGCCTTGGGATGAGAGTGCAGGGAATGGGCAGTGTGACGTGCAGATGCAGAGGTTAAATAGCTGATAGGGGACAACTCTTGGCCACGAGATGTGATTATCTACACTAATGGGTCAGTTGCCAGGAGCAGAAAAAGTCGTTGGGGCTTCGTTGCAAAAGCATGGGGGAAGAAGGATAACTGAAGAGAGCTTGGTATATAACATCACCACATTTAGCATGAGAATGGAGGTTGAGGCAGTAACTGCAGCATTCCGATGGCTAGAAAAATCTCAGCCACACATGTTGTTATAGTGTCAGATTCACAAAGGATGCTCAGGAAAATAGAGTCAGGTTTTCTTCGTTTGAAATGGATGTCGTACATGGTGACAGTCATATGGATGTTTTGCCCCAGCTATTTAGGTGTGTTTGGACTGAGCAGGAAGATATGCTGGCTGAAATGACCCCATTTAGGGGTGTACTGCAACTGCACAAGGCAGAGGGAATTTAAAACCTGTGGGACAGGGTAATAGGTCAAACTGAAGATACTAAAAAGCCATACCTGGAGAAAAGGATACAGTGAGGAGTGGCTGTGGGCACCACTTGAGACTCAGAAGGAAGGCAAGATAAGTAGTTAAGTAGATGACAATAGGTACCATTAGCATGGAAATCTTCACTGTCTGCTGAGGAAGGAGACGGAGCCAGTATGGGCTTGTCCTGAGTGCTGTGATGTCTAATTTTTATCCAGATGATTCCAGGCAGTTGAGGCTAGTTACTTTACCTGTCCATGTTGTTCACAGCATGCATGTCAGAAATGACATCTCCAGGGCCTCCAAGTTTTTAATTTGATCATTGACAAACACAGCCATACAGCAGCACTGGTTCAATATCACATTTCAGTGCTTTTGTGTGTGTGCATTTAATGAGAGAGACCTGTTGTAAAAATATTGTTCATATTTTGAAAAGCCACCTTTGCCTGGCATATCCTTTTCTCAATCTCTGTTGCACATCTTCCATCAATTGTTACAAATGTCCCAAAATATCTGAACTTGTTGACCCGGACTTTAAGAAGAAGTTCATGTTGGTGTTATATTTGTTACTTTGTCCTCTTTGTAATATCATATTTTGGTGTTTCTTCTTTGTTACAGGCATTGTTTCTGTCTTCTTGATATTTGAGAGTCCTTTTTTTTGCACTCTCCATAACTTCAAGGTCAAAAAGTTTATGCAGATAAAGTGTAATATCTTGTGTAAAACAACTTTTTGTTGTATATTTATAACTTGTCAAAAGAAAATAACATAAAACTATGAGCATCAGAAAAGACAGTTTGTAGTGAAGTTTAAAGTGACGAACACAAAAGTTACTCACTCATTGTAGTTGAGAAGACTGTAAACTAATGTAGTATTTTCTCCAGAGTCTCTGGCCTGTAATTCAAGAAAATGAGCACACATAAACAAACTGCAGAGGTTATATAGCAGAGAAACAGGACACAGCAGAACAGTATTTACAGGAATACAGATCTGTCTAAGGTTCTTTCTTGTCTCATTTGTCTGTTCCACAACTTTCTAACTTTCTTTCTTTTGTCGTGACAGATATTTTTCACTTTGTCTTTTATCTGTTTATAGAGCACAGACTCAATCTTCTTCTTGGAAGACTGAAGTTGAAAATCCCTTTTGGTTTGGCTCCCTTTGTTCTTCCCTTATTCATGATTGACAGATTTGTGTTTAGTTTTGTCTCAGCATCTCTGGAATGCAGCACATTCAGTATTTTGCTCTGTTGATACTACTTCCTCCTTAAACAACTATACATGGCCAATCTGTTAACTCTTTTGTTTCCTTTCACCCTGGAGTATTTCAGTGAGTGCAGCCAAAATTGTTTTTTGAGGCGGTCAACCCATTCTAGTTTGAGTTTGCCATCTTCTTAAGCATGCACATTAACTCTGAGTCCCAGGGGGTTTAGCATCACAGGCCCAAGGGGTAGTCAAGATAGGTGTAAAATCGGCGCATCTTGCGTTCATTGGGCTTCTAGGTAGGAGTCTATGAATGTAGCATGCGTCCCTTGGGACTCAAAGAGTTAAGCCTGTCAGTATCATTGCATGAGCTGCTTTTTATTCAGTATATATAAGGATGTGAACTAATAAAACTGTTGCAACAAGAGATATAAGGACACACATATACAAAACAATGAAATGCTGAACAAACACTGAAACCAACACTAGCATAAATTACATCAATGTCAGCAATGAATTCTCCCTGCCTTCTCTCAGCTGTCACATTGAGTGATGTGTTGAGGAACTGAGGTGGGGTGTTCAGCACAGCTCCAACTTGAACATACACAGCGACCCTAGATTCCTGAAGACAATTGTCAACGAAATAATAATATATGAACTAAATACCTTGGACTAGAGTGAATCACACAAAGGGTATTCAGTATCTTTCATCTTGATTTTTTTGGATTATTTTTTTTTTAACTGTTTTTTTTTTTACATTTTTAAATTGTATTTTAAAACTGGAATGTTTGTTTTGTTTTCTTTTAAATGTAGAACTGATCCACAGCACCTTTACAAGCAATGTAATAAAAATGATATAATGAAAGGTTACTGAATTCATTTTCACTGGACCAAAGAGTGCAGGCATTTAATGCTAGCTGTAAACCACAAGAAGACATGCAAACTGCCACTGTAAGGGCAAATACAGCAGAAGATATTATGATTTCAGTCAAGCTTTTTACAATAATAAAGAAAGTGGTGTCTGAAGTATGTATCAAACATCAGGAACAAACATTTGTAAGTTCTTAATAAACAAATTCATATTTCTGCTGCATTAAACATGAAATTTGTAGCAGAGAAGAATTACAGGTGAGTTTACTGCCAGCTGTCTATTTAGTGAAGTCAGTTATTGTTGTTTTTAGGCTAAACTGCTAAAGAACTTAATACTCCACTTCTGCTCAGTAGTATAGTACTTATTTTACTTACTGCTCAGCTAACTACTCATCTTACTGATGAACTAGTTAATTAGCCTAATATATAATTTACTACTTACTTTAGCTTACTGTTGATAATACTGCTTACCTTCCTAATCATCTCAGTAGTCAGATTACTACTCAGCTTACTAGTTAAATAATACTCATCTTATCATTTAAATCACTGCCTAATGTACTTCTTAATTTATTATTTGATTGATTACTTTAACATTCCATTTGATTAACTGGTTAGCTTACCAATTAATTCACAGTTTGTTTTACTACTTACTTTAGCTTACTAATCAGATTACTACTCAATTTATTACTTAAGTTTCTTATTCAGATTATGTCTTAGCTTATTACTTAGCTTCCTATTCAAATTACTACACAACTGACTACTTAATTTACTATTTAACTTACAACTTAGTTTACTACTTAACTTATTATGTATCTCTCTTCTTACCTTACTGTTTGACATAATACTTAGCTTACTACTTATCTCACTAATTAACCTACCATTGACTTACTAGTCAGCTTTTTACTCAACCTATGACTTACCTTACTACTTAACTTTTCTTCAGATTACTTCTTAACTTACTACTTATCTTACTACTTAGATCACTATTCATATTACTTATTAATTTACTATTTGACTTACTAGTAATATTTCTTTTTACACTAAGGTTTTAACTTATCTCATTTATCCCAAGTAGTAAAGAGAGACATCAGATCAGTACAATCTGTGTTCACTGGGCTTCTAGATAGGAACCTATAGATGTATGATGTGTTCCTTGGCACTGAAAGAGTTAACTCTCTACTAAACTTATTGCTTAAACGCCTTCTTACTCATTACTTAGCTTAATACTGAACCTACAACTCACCAGAGTCCCATCACTAGCGATGGCTGTTATCTCATAGCTGTTCTTGAGGACATAACTCAGCTCTCTGATTAAAATGATGTCCCCTCTGATCGAAACATGAATAAGAAAGTACAATTTAACATAAGATTCAAAAGTAGATCATGTATGCTTTTATTGTTTGTTGGAATTATGTAGAGCCATTTTGTTAGCTTGCTGATTTTTTTCTATTAAAACAGACCAAACAAATGTTACATGGTAGCAATTTCTTAATTCTGTTATTGAAACAAAAGCTAAAAACTGTGTCATGCCTTATGATGCATAGGGCATGTGGTATGTGTCCCATACTTTAAAAATCAGTCTTCTTCTTCCTTCTGTCACGTTCACTGGCTGTTATCTCCAGCAGAAAGTCCTAGCTGTTTATTCACTTCTGGACTTCAATGCTGTTTCAGGACTTGAGTGTTGCATGCATATCCATTTTACAGATTTAGCTTATTTGTGTGCAGACTGCTGTTCCTTGACTATCAGGCAGACGCATTACAACTATGTTGGCCAGACTCCCACCTGGGAATCTATTCCTAGAATGACCACACAGACAGCTGCAGAAAGGTCTTGACCAGTATAAGTCTCAGCCCATCGGTCCACCCCATGTGTGGTTCAGCACCTGTAATCCCTACAGGTCCATGGGGGATGTGGTTATATAACACCAACTACCTATACATCTCCTTGTACCTATTTTAGGCTGGGTCAGCCTGGGAGCCCAGCCAGTTTGAAAGCTGCCTTGACAGAGGCTGAGCCCATGACAACAGAGAGGATTGACAAGCCCACTAGCCTGTGTGATACTGTCACACCTTCTTAGGTGGACATTACCAATAACATTAAATAGAAATGAGTACAGTTTATACATGCAGTCACTTATATACACCCATGGAGTCTGCAAGCAAACCACTGATCTGTCCGCAACTAATAGCCCCTTAAATCTATTTCAGATCGGACCCCTTGGTGTAAGTTGCCAATACACATCCATATAGAAGTGAAAGGAGTATTCGATAAAGAAGAACAAAACAGTGTGCAATGTAAAACAACCACCCTTGCTCTACTTGATGACGAATACCCACAGAATCTTTGAGTTTGTGTCTATACGTATGAGTCAGCACAAAATGCAAGCAGAAATGGAGAAGCAGGAGTGTATAATGAGCATCCAAATAATACCAGATATACAGTCAAAATACCTACAGGAATATACTGTCACAACTATGATGCAGAAGTTCAAGCCATCAAAATAGCAGCAGAGAAACTCTTGAATATTCGTCATATTTCACAACCCGTAGTATTTCTGACAGATGCAAGAGCGGTACTTCAGGCACTCCAATCTGGAAAACTATACCTGGTATATGAACACTACCTTCCAAGCTAGGCAGCCGGTGTAAGGTAAATATGCAATGGATACCATCCTACTGTGGAGTTCCTGGAAATGAAAGAGTTGATAAACTAGCTAAGGAAGGTGCAAATGAAGAACAGCCTGACTTACCACGCTCTTTAATCAACAAAAGAAGATAATAATCAAATCAATCAGAAAGCCACCAAAACCGGCACAAGAGGATTACCGTTTTATGGACAGACCAGAGCAAGTTATTATTCTACGCCTTAGAATAGGACAAAATTGACTTCGCAGCAACATGTACACAAAATTTAAAATTGGTGAATCAGACATGGGTACATGTGGACTGACACCTGAGACAACAGATCATGTCCTCCAAGACTGTCCCAAACACAAAATATCTAGGCAAAACTTGTGGCCAAGAGAAACATCGGTGCAAGTCAAACTTTATGGCTCACTGAGTGAATTACAAAAGACAGTGAAGTTCATACTAGAGACAACACTGCATATATAGATAATCTATTTCAAGTGAACAAAAGAAGAAGAAGAACTTATATACTAATATATTATCAACGATTACAGTGATTACATTTATATATAGAATTAAATGAAAGAAATAGAATGTAAGCTCTTTGTGACATATAAAAGGCACAGCAAGATGATCAGGATGGGAATCATGATGATGATATATTTATAACATGAGAATTAGATTAAATGTGTAGCCTTCCAATCTCAGTTCATACTGCAATCTTCTTCTTTAATCGATGTCATGTGACACTGATAGTCATGTCCATCCTCAATCTTCTGTCTTGTGTATGTTCAATCAGTTCTGACACAAATTTTCTTTCATGCCATGATGTCAAACTGTCCAACACTTCTCTCTCGGCTTCTCTTCTCCTCCAACTTTTCTACCATTATTATGTACTCTTCCAATAACATGACCAAAGAGTGTAGATATTTCCTTCTGATGTGGGATGCAATATGTAAGGATTATCCAATACTTTAGACACTGTTAAATTTATAGTATTTCAATTCTCTCTTCTAAAGGAAGGCTTCTCACATGTAGGATGTAGCACCTAAACAATTACACGTACTTTACCTCCCTCTTGGCTTCCATGGTCTTCAAAAAATGTTCAAATTAGGTAGTGTGTGAGCAAAACATAAACAAGAGATCAACTGGAATATAGATTAATCATAGCAAAAGACTTTAACTACTTTTGCTGGAGTCTTTTAGCCTAAGGACTTAAGAGCACATGCTTAGTGCTGTGGCCATGGACTGCGCATGTTACAATTTTATTTTTGTTCCAGACAGAAAAAAATTCACAACCTTACTGGGGATTAGAACCTTGGTCTCTTTCATGAGAGCTCAGCATTCATAACCACTGGGGCAGCTGCTCCCCATCATTACATACATGTGAGATTAATGAGAACAAAGACAGAAAGTAAATCACCAATAGTAATATCAGTCAATCAGTCAGGTTGGCTGCTCAAGAAATGTTGGCTTCAATACTTTGTCTCTTGTCATGGGTGTCCTAAGACTATTGTTCATCCATCTGTTGATGGTGTCCTCCCACATGTATCACTGCCTACCTTTTGCCTGCCTGCTTTAATTTCTCTTTGGTGCTGTTTGTATAAGAGTGTTGGGTCCTTTAATGTGGCCAAAATATTTAACTAAATTCTCTTTTTATTTCTTTCAGTTCTTTTAATCTTCAGTCTGTTCAAAATTTATATTTTATCGTTTTATTTCCATGACCTAGGATCAGTTCTGCTGTATTTGTCACCCTTTAAAATAAAGTTTGTTTGTTCATTTCCAGGGTCTTGGGGGGCTGAATGGTCTCGAGGTATGCTATCTGCCTCGAGTGCTGAAGGTCCTGGGTTCAAGCCATTATGAGGCTGGGAGTTTTTCACATTGACGCAGTAATTTTCCCTGGTCTCTGGGTAGTAAGATTGGATGCCTGTGTGTATTGTTCCACACGTAAAAATACCTTGGCAGTTGGAAATAGAAAAGAGTAGCTTAACGGCGCTGCCCGGGCAAAATTTGAAGTAAAAAATCTTCTCAAATTATTTCAGGATCCTCACTGGTTCTATGGAGTTCGTGCACTGCGCTGAGATTCTTCAGACTCAGGCTTGAGTTAGAAGTAGAACGGAGCACTTAAGATAACACCCGTGTGCCAAGATGATGATCCGCCAAATAAACATAAACAATAAACATAAACAGGGTCTCACAGTACCTTTCCAATTACTTGTTCATTGCCCAAGTTTCTGTAGGCTTGAGCATGTATATAACATGTCATAATTTTTCTTTTCAATGTGTTGTTATTTTTACCACAGATGAAATTGTTCTCACAGTTAAAAATACAGGATGGTCATGTCGATATACAGAAGTAGTGTAACAAACCACACAGAGTCTCTCAGTGGTGTAACTGTTTGTGGCTCTAAAGCTCACAGGAGTACTTACGTGTCTGGGTAGATGTCAAATGTTTTACTGGGATCATCAAGGCTGTATGTTATGGCAGAGCCCTTGTAGAAATAAAAAAAAAAACAGTTGAGCTAATTTAGGCATAGAAACACTTGTTATTGCTTCTGCAATGTACTGGGTATTTTTCTCTTCTAGATTAACCTCTCTCTCTCCAAGCAGAAGCTAATCACCTGCAGAGAGTTCTACAAGAAGCACACAGCTTCTGCAACTACCTTAAAGATTATCTAAAAAAAATTTCACTAATCAACCAAACAGTGATCAATGGTGATTTAAACAGATTATTAATTTCGTTGTTACTTCTCACTCTCTATTCCATTCTTAATATCATGATAAGAAAGGATGGCCAACTGACACTGTAGAAAGCTATGTCACAAAATGAAAACAATCATAAACAAGTCTTCAAAGAGTCTGGAATGGTTTGACTGTGGTTGGTGCTTTATTGGGAGATAAAAGACATAAAAATAATAAAAAGAACCAGAAGAAAAATAAGAAGACTAAAAAGAAGAATAAAGAACAGAGGAGGAGGGTGAGAAAAAGAACAAGAAGAAGAAAAAGTGTAATCATGCCATATTGTTTTTTCAACGCAAGAGAATCGATCACTTACAGAATCTTTGTCTGTGGCAAACACTGCAGTGACCACATGCCCCACAGGGAACACTTCAGGTATGACCATTTGGTAGTAACTGCGGCTAAAGACTGGTGCATTGATATTTGAACCCTGGACACGTATTGTCAACAGCGCCACCCCATACCTTGAAGGGTTGTCAACTTGGCTAGCCTAAAGAAGAAAACATTTGGTTTTAAATGGTTAGCTGTAGTACAGTTGTAGAAGTCAAAATAACAGTTTAAAGAATATCATGAATCCAGTATGCCATCTTGATGTATAAAGTATCTTCGTATAATCCACGCTGTGATATTGATTCATCATGCTTATCCACAGCCTTCTGTCTCATAAACTGACATGATTTTCAGGTCACATGTATGTTTCGCATACATAAATATAATTTCACCCAGGGCAAAGAGCATTTGCTTGCTGGAAAGTCTTTGTTAAGAGAATCCTCTTTGTCCACATTGCTTGTCTTGAAAAGATGCCAGTCAGCATAGTGGCTAAGGGGTTATAAACACAGTTTCATAATTATGGGATAACGGGTTTGACTCAGCTTTGTGTGCTGATTTTGAGAAAAGGATGAGAGTCCCCTTTCAGAAAGTAACACAAACTATTGAATGTAACATTTTATAGTAAAACCATGAACAACCAGTAAAAGAAAAAGAATGTCACTGCAATATGCCTTTTTTAGCAAAACTTTTAAATTTGTGCTATTTCAGCTGGCACATTTGGTTTCCATGCTGCTTATTAAAGAACTGAAGTTTGCGTTCAACACAAATACTTACATCCAGTTGTGGGTTTTCTGATTTTGAAAAGTTGTCAAAGAGGTATCCATACTGCCTATTCGTTACAGTTTCCAGGTACCAGGGATTTTAATATCTGCAGTGTGTACAAAAGATAGAGAGACAACTTCCAGGCAGACCTACAAAAACATGGAGCCACCAACTGGAAACTGGAAAAGCAAGGCCAGTCACAGATTTGAATGGAGGCAGGTAATATCTGATAAATGAACCTCCTGGGCTCGAAATGCTTCAGAAAAAGAAAAAGAAAAATATGTACACAGAGCATTCTGTTTGTGGTAATGTCAGAGAGTGCAGGCAGAGACAGCAGGCAAGCATTCCCTTGTCTAGAGAACAGGACGTTTGAGTGTATAGCCCCTGATAGAGAGTAGCAATTGTGAAGTTGCTAACATGCCTGCCTTCCGCCCCAGCAATCACAGGTTTAAACGTACAATAAATTTGATTTTCAAAAGCAGAACTGGACAGGCAGGTTCACCCAGCCTAACAGGCATACCAGAAAAAATTCTGGCAAGGTTTTCTACATGATGTTGACCACACCATCCAGGGATCACTGAGTCAGCCTGGGTTAGCACAATATGCCTGATCACCCTGAAGACAGGAGAAGGTTTCTTCACTTTAACTGAAATTATAATTCTGTGAAATTTTGTTTAGTTTTTTTGAGGGCCTACTGTCCTCAGCTGGATTCAGACCCAGCACTTTCCCATTTAAAGTCAGATATCAAACCTCTAAATTTCCTGTGTGGGTTACAGGGCCACATTTTAGGAGGAAAAAAGGAACTGACCCATTGCTTACAGGGAGGGGCGACCTTTGAATTTATAGTGCATCTGTCTGACAGGCGTAATATAGGTCTAAACCTATATGCCCAACATGCCTGAAGATGTGGAAAAGGTCCTTTTTTACTGAAATCCTTATATATATTTTATATAACATTTTATAGTAAAACCATGAACAACCAGTAAAAGAAAAATAGTGTCACTGCAATATGCCTTTTTTTTTTTTTTTAGCAAAACTGTGAAATATGTCCTATTTCAGCTGACAATAATTTAACTCTTTAAAGACATATCGCCAATATACTAGCGAATAAATTTATCTCTAATGGACAAATCGCCAGTATATTGGCATATGATAGAAACACTCTAATTTTGTTCTGTTTGTGAGAAAAACAAACTTTTATGAACAATTTTTTTTAACAATTAGGATTAACAACAGAAATTCCTTTCATTTGCGAAGTTCATCGGTCCATTATTTTCTGTTTAAAAAAAATTATTTAGATAGAGACACAATTTTAACGTAATTTCACTATAATAAATGATAAGGGAAAAGGTCTAGAACTGTTCATACTGCTCTGTCGTTGATTAATCTCTGCCAGATGGTGACAACAGTCTTGATATTATGATTGATATCTAAGTGACAAACCTATTGACTATTGGTGATAATTTTGTTTAGGAGTCGAAAATTGAACAAAATATTTCAATCGGATCATTGTTTCGATCAGCTGTTTTTCCGATTTTTGGTTGGTGTGAAATTTGATGTGTCATACAAAAATGATCATAACATCCAAAGTATTTAAATTAATTGTTTCAAATAAACACTAGATGATACGTAATTGAACAGAGAAGGCATGTGCATTCTTAGAATTTTATAGCAGTGTTGGTAAACAAGTAAAAAAGCAAGGTAAGCACACAATTTATTATGTCAATAATCTTCATATGTAACTAACATCCTTGAATATTGTGTAATATAAATAATATCTTGTTATAGTACTTACATTTGAATAGTTAAGACTTAATCTGCACTCTTTTATCTTTAATTTAATATATTATATGTCCCGATACAGCCAATACATTTTCTTCAGGAAGGTTTTAGCTTTGTCGTGTTGCAGTAAAAAAAAATTCTGCTCAAAATTAATGCTGTCCATACCCCAGAAAAAATTGTGGTCCTGAAAGAATTAATGCAGATCTACATAAACACAAGTACATGTAGATGTAGAAATATCATACAGACTAGATACCAAAATTTAACATCAAATTACCTGCACTAGAATATAGATCTCTTCAGCAGTAGGAAATAGAACTAATTTGACTTCAGCAGTGTTGGCATCAATATTGAAGATAGGGTTATTCTGACTAGCTGTGTCTGGAAATGTAAACAAAAATCAGATGGTTAAAATCTACCCTATATTTCTTCTGGCATAAAAACAGAGATTAAAAAAAATTATAAATTCACTTTGCTAACTATCTGATAAAACCCATTACTACACATGCAACATGGAAAAGGACATTTTATTCACCTAATGATTCCAAACATGTTTTTTGTTTTGTTTTGTTTGTTGACTCTGTGACTGCTTCTGTGATTTTCATTAAACATCCTTTGATCTGTGGAAGGCTTACCCAGACAACAAATGCCTGCAGAAGTCAGATGCATCGGCCGAAAGGTGCAAATATAGCAGCCATGTTGTAAATGGGCAAAATGCATTTGCATCCTCAGATGAATGCAGAAGAAGAAAACATACTTTGATCTGTTGTGGAATAAACTCTGGCCACTGGATGCCTAAGAGTTTCAGGCTGCATGGCTAGTGCAGTTATCATCAACTGTGCAGGATAGAATTGTATTTTGCCCCTGACATAAAATTAGTCTATTACTTTCACATTGCTAAATAGCCCCCAGTGAATCAAAAATGTCAGTATATCATGAATCAGATAGTGAATCAAAAAGTAAATTAAAATGTATAGTGAATTAAATAATAAATTGGGAGCTGCAGTAGTGTAGTGGCTAGATGCTTGCTTAATGGCCTAAAGATCCTTGAATTTGAATCTGCATCAAGACCATTTGTTTCTTTCTTCCAGAATGAATGTTGTCTGACAGGTTGACCAATCTTAACATGGGAACCAGGTAATGTCCCGGGAAGTAAAAGTAGTCAACATATGAGTGCCTCTTGGTCTCTACAAGTGTGAGCCTAGCATCATATGCCCGGTGTGTGAAGAATGTAAACAAGGATCCTTGACTTTAATCTCGGTTGCCGTGGTAAAACAGGCGGTCGCTTTTGAGTGTCGTTGAATTTGTACTTCGGTTGTAAAAGATTCCTAAGGACATTCTCTAGGCTGAATTAAAGATGGGTAGAAGATGTCGAGGCCAAACTCTACTACAATATAAAGATGTGTGCAAATGGGACAAAAATGATACAGGTATTAAGGTGGACTCATGGGAACAAAATGCCAATGACCGTGTTGTGTGGAGGGACACATCAGAAAGGAAATGAGAATGAAGGAAAAAATGACTGCAGAAAGGATGAGAGCTGAGCATCTGAGATGAAACACACTAAACACAAACGTTGTCAACAATGATCCTAAAATTCCAAGCTATCATTGTGGAAGACTTTTCTAAAGCAGGCAGGTCTTGCTAGTCACACTTGCAATCCCCATGAGCTGTGAGTCCCATGCCAATATAGCATTTGGAAAGATGGAAAGGTGCAAGTCAATTAATACAAAGGATCCACTCATTTGCTTTATTTATTTAATTGTTTCTGTAGTAAGCACTTGACAAGCTACAGCGAAATATGCCTGGCAATAAATTGTGCAATGTATTGTTTGTATCTTCTTTGTTCAAATTTACAATCGGGAAACATTGCTTTAATTTACTTAAATTACTTAATATAACATTAAAATTTACAATGTATAAAATACTCGTTGTCAATTAAATACATTATGAAATTAATAGGCAGTTAAATATATAATGAATAAAAAAACTGGAAAACATTTTCATTTAAAGTGTTTACAGAGTTATAATAAAGGCATACATGTAATAAGCAAAGCAAAATTGTTCACTCAAGTAGATCAGGGATTAATGGCTACTGTAGTCAAATCACATTCGAGATTAACAACACATTAGCAATCATTTATAAAAGCTCTTGAACTGTTCTATTAAATTATAATACAAAACTGGTCTAGTCAGTCACACTGAAACATTTTGTAAGGTTTTTCTCTCTTTACGTTTATGCTTTGACAAAGTTACAGATTAACACACAATGAACCAAATAAATAGGAAAAAAACATCTCACTGCGGTAGTTTAATTTTGTTCCTCCCAAAGATTGAATGAATGAATTAAAACACACACACACACACACACACACATATACACATGCATACACAAATGAATATAGATGTGTGAACTTACACACACACACATGTACGCATGCATGCACACATATACAAAAGAAAACCTTACAAACATCACTACATTTACTTGTTTTCCTTACAGCTATTGCAGTACGAAGCAATCTGGAAATGTCAATACTGCTGTCATGAATATTTTAGTATATATTTATATATGTGTGTGTATATGTGTGTGTTAATCAATAGCAGCATTAACTTTGCAGGCTGGGAAAAAGCGAACATTTCAAGCATATAGACAATGTCTGCATGATCCATGAGCCGGCCATCTGCAATTATTGCAGAACCTGTCAGTCTATAAGCTCAGTCTTTGCCAACAACACCTGCATACCCTAGGACAAATATGAAGGTAACTGCACACACAGGAGAGTTTGCAATAACTTAGTCCACTGTATGTGCACCGAGCTTGCCACAACCCACCGTATCATGCTCAAAGAATTACTCAGCACACATATGCGGGAATAGTCCTGTGATTCTAGCCACATGAAAGCTTGTGCCACCGTCATCACCTCCATCATCATGCTTCTGGTAGTCATGGAGAAGGCACCGCTGGCTTCTTAGACTGTTCTGCCTGAAAAGTGAGCTGTAAATGCCCATGCACTCTTATGTCCTCGTATAATGGACCCGTCTGTGAAGATCAGCACATCTGTTTCATCTAACTTACTGATAAGCATACAGACCTTGGCTTTGGCAGCAACAGGGTTCTGCTTCAGTCAAATCCTATCAAGCGTGATGACACAGGAGAAGGGGAGATTGGTTGCTATAGGCACTGATATTCATTCCTCACCAGGATGGATGTCTTAAGACTGCAGACCTCCATGATGTCATCCTCTGCCCTACCCAGCCATGATTTGCCCATTTTCAGTCTATTGCCCTTTTCCCTGAAGAGCACGTGGTGCAAAGGGTGCTTCAGATCTGAGCTTATCTGGAGGTATGCACGAGCCCTCCAGATCTTGATCCTGTATTTCTATATACATAGTTCTTCTATATACATATAGTTCTTGATCCTGTTGTACTAAATACATAATTATTATTATCTGACTGGGGCGGGTGACCAGGCTTCTCCTCGTCATGTATTCTCCAATAGCATGTCTCAGTTTGTGCACTAGTATCTCATTAAAAGAAGGCTCTTAAAAGTCTTTTCTTGCTGTCTTCCTTTGTTTCTCCTCCCATAAATCTGTTCAGTTGTCACAACATGTTGCAGTGTTTCCCATCTTACAATGAAGCTTCAAGATGATGACTGCCTCTCTCTGATGTTTGTGATGAAATGGTTTTGTGTGTGTGTGTTGTAAGTTTTGTGTGTGTGTGGTGTGCATGTGGTGTGTGTTACATATGTATGTGGGGTGTGTGTGTGTGTGTGTGTGTGTGTGGTGTGTGCATGTGGTGTGTGTTACATATGTATGTGGGGTGTGTGTGTGTGTGTGTGTGTGGTGTGTGTGTGTGTGTGTGGTTTATGTGTATGTGGTGTATGTATAGTGATTGTGTGTGTGGTCTGGTGTGTGTGTGTGCATGTAAAAGAGAGACAGACGGATGCACAATGTAAGGAAGCAGTAGTATACAAGATTGCAATAAAATATGAAAACATAAATATGAAAGTTACAAATGATTCCAGTAAATGTATAGCAGGATTTATTAAATCATGAGAACTCTGATATATGGGGATATACAATGCTGATTCCAATATAATGATCAGCAAATATTAGAAAGGCTATATAGAGAAAAGCTTGTGATGAAATGAATACCCAAATACTGCTTGTAGCCAGCACTCAGGTGTGACTGATCTATCTGATCTGCTTTACTAAGATACTCAGGTCCTGTGAGTAATATACAAGTAATATAAAGTACAAGATATCAGAGATGCATCGGCTATGAAACACATAGGGCGGGAAAACTGGCTTCAGACAAAGAGACCTTCAGACAAACTGTGAAAACAGTGTTGCTCTATAAATAACCTGCAGTCTGATGATGGTGACGATGATAATGATGATGATGGTGATGATGATAATGATGATGTTGATGATGATGGTGATGATGGTGATGGTGGTGATGATGATAATGATGATGATGATGGTGGTGGTGATGAAAGTGATGATGATGGTGATGATGATGATGGTGATGATGATGATGGTGGTCATGATGACTATGATGATGATGATGATGATGATGATGATGATGATGATGATGGTGATGATGATGGTGATGATAATGATGATGGTGATGATGATGGTGATGGTGATGATGATGATGATGGTGATGATGATGATGATGATGGTGATGGTGATGATGATGATGATGGTGATGATGATGGTGATGATGATGATGATGGTGATGATGATGATGGTGATGATGATGATGATGGTGATGATGATGGTGATGATGATGGTGATGATGATGGTGATGATGGTGGTGATGATGATGATGGTGATGATGATGATGATGGTGAAGATGTTGGTGATGATGACGATGATGGTGACGATGATGATGATGATGATGATGATGATGATGATGATGATGATGATGATGATGGTGATGATGATGATGATGATGATGATGTGAGTCATATTTTTACAGAACAAGAATAGAACTGAGCTGTGCAGATGCAGGTGTAATAATATCAACAAGACCAGATTATTTTCGCCAGTTGCCAGTTTCTCTCTTTGCTGTTCCTCTCGATCAGCGTTGGTGAGGTGGTTAAGCCTCTGAAGGTTTGCTTTTTGATTATGATGATCTGTCCTGATGATGATGATGATGATGATGTGAGTCATTTTTTTACAGAAGACAACAAGAATCGATCTGAGCTGTGCAGATGCTAGGTGTAATAATATCAACAAGACATTGATTATTTTCGCCTGCCAGTTTCTCTCTTTGCTGTTTTCAAACGTGGTGAGGTGGTTAAGCCTCTGAAGGTTTGCTTTTTGATTAGGGACTCTGTCCTTTTGGTTTTTGGGTGCAGTTGTTTCAGAAATTCGAGTGGAGTGTCACCAGAGCTACGGAGTTGTGTACTTTGTACAGTGATAGCTGACCACTTTGCAATATAAGACAGCAATAGACAGTCATAACTAACCACTTGTGTTTTTTAAGACAATTAAAGACAGTAATAACTAACCACTTGTACTAAGTAAGACAACCATAGACAGTAATAACCACTTGTGCTATAAAAGATATCTTTAGACAGTAATAACTTACCACTTGTGCTATGTAAGACAACCATAGAAGTTGATAAATAACCACTTGTGCTATATAAGATAACTTTAGACAGTAATAACTTACCACTTGTGCTATGTAAGACAACCATAGAAGGTGATAAATAACCACTTGTGCTATATAAGATAAATATAAAAAAAAAGTAAAAGACCCTTTTCCATGCCTTTAGGCATATAGGGCGTATAGGGCTAGACCTATAATTTTATAGACCAATCGGCACAGGATGGGTGATGTGGTCAGCATCACACCTAAGATAAAAATAGACAGTAATAAATAATTTAAGCTATATAAGAAAACCACAGTGAAAATAACCACCTTTGCTATATAGAAAAACTATATGGTGATAACAAACTACTTGTGCTATATAAGACAACCATAGACATTGATAACTAGTGTGCCATATAAGACAACCAGAGACATTGATAACTATGTGTGCTATATAAGACAACCATAGACAGCAATAAATAACCACTTGTGCTATATGAGAAAACAATAGACAGTAATAAATAACCACTTGTGCTATATAAGACAACCATAGACAGTAATAAATAACCACTTGTGCTATATAGCACAACTATAGACAGTAATAAATAACCACTTTTGCTATATAAGACAACCATAGACAGCAATAAATAACCACTTGTGCTATATAAGAAAACTACAGTGATAATAAACCACTTGTGAAATATAAGACAACTATAGTGATAACAAACCACTTTTGCTATATAAGACAACCATAGACATTGATAACTGACTATGTGTGCTATATAAGACAGCCATTGGCAATGATGAAGTGCCACTGTAGCAATAACTTACCACCAGTGATATAGAAGACAACCACAGACAGTGACAACTTACCACCTGTGATACATAAGAAAATCTTAAATGGGGATAACCTTCCAAATGTACTTATAAGAAGATGACAGACAGTGATAACTTGCCATTTATGGTACATAAGACAACCAAAGATAGTGACAAGCCACAGCTTATATTATAGAAAACAATCATCATGTGCAGCGTTGACAAATTTAAGTGACATTATTTTGCCAACTAACATGATCACTATTCTAACATGAGGTCTGTGGTTTAGTGGCACTTATAATCAAGCCATCCAAGTATCTATCTCTTCCAGTCAATATGGCAGATAGGCAGCTTACTTAATTGAGGTGAGTTTTTGCTTCTGACGATAATTAGCTGTTGCATTTGCCTCCATATGTAGACTAAGTTGAGTGCACTGAAGGACACTGTGAGCTGAAGATTTCCTTTGGAATGCTTTTCAATTGTGCCTAACATTTTTGTGTTGTCAACTAAGTATTAAGAAAATTGCACTGATCTATTACCAGAGATCTTGTGGTGCTTTATGCAGCTAACTTCATGTGCAACTACTGATCTGTTTTAACTACTGCTTTCATCAATGATGAACTGCATTTCTATTGTCTGATAGTTTGTGTTGGCACTTCTGACTGCTGCCATAGGCATTTAATGCATGTGCATGCCGTCAGATATGCTAAAAATACTGTCTGTGTCATTTTTGTGTTGTGTGTGCAAGAGGCAGTGATAGACATTCTGTGTGGTTTTTGTTGTTGTTGTTGTTGCAAGAGGCAGTGATAGACATTCTGTGTAGTTTTTGTTGTTGTTGTTGCAAGAGGCAGTGATAGACATTCTGTGTGGTTTTTGTTGTTGTTGCAAGAGGCAGTGATAGACATTCTGTGTGGTTTTTGTTGTTGTTGTTGCAAGAGGCAGTGATAGACATTCTGTGTGGTTTTTGTTGTTGTTGTTGCAAAAGGCAGTGATAGACATTCTGGGTGGTTTTTGTTGTTGTTGTTGCAAGAGGCAGTGATAGACATTCTGTGTGGTTTTTGTTGTTGTTGTTGCAAGAGGCAGTGATAGACATTCTGTGTGGTTTTTGTTGTTGTTGCAAGAGGCAGTGATAGACATTCTGTGTGGTTTTTGTTGTTGTTGCAAGAGGCAGTGATAGACATTCTGTGTGGTTTTTGTTGTTGTTGTTGTTGCAAGAGGCAGTGATAGACATTCTGTGTGGTTTTTGTTGTTGTTGTTGTTGCAAGAGGCAGTGATAGACATTCTGTGTGGTTTTTGTTGTTGTTGTTGCAAGAGGCAGTGATAGACATTCTGTGTATACATACTGGCACAAGAATGGGGCAAATGGGGTGATTCATTTGCTATTAGGTTAGAACTGTGATTATCCAATCGCCCGATCTATCTTTTTGTCTTCAGTTTGCTCTTGCCTAATCATGTCTGGTGGTTAGGACTTAGTTTTTGAGTTTATAATGATGTGGATAAAATGTTTGGGTTGTCTGCATTTACTTTCTTTAACTAGTACGCAGGGTCTGATCTGTTTCTTAGGTAGTTACTGGAGCTACAATAGGAATAAACTCACAGGGAGCAAGTACAGCAGGGATCTACCAGTCATCAGTAGAAATTATCCTCGTCGACACGCGTTTCGGCCCACGATTCCTAGACGCATTCGGAGGTGGGCCCTCCTGAGTTCATGAAGCTCAGGGCTGGTTCCCTGCTGCACGGGATTACCGGATGGTGTTTTACTTTCGGCCAGAGACAAGATGACTTGGTGGTTTCGCAGAAGGTACTGTGAGATAAGAAGTCGCCACGGCAGCCTAATTAAAGCAGTCAGCATGCCTGAACGACCGAGCGACAAGCTTACGTTTGGTTTACCGGACACATGTTGGACTACAGATTTCTACAGATTGCTACAGATTTAAGGCTTTGCATAATGCCTTCAACAGGCAACATCTGCTTCTTGGAGAGAGTCTGAGTCTTGGGATAAAACTGGTCAATAAAGACACTTCTCTAGCTTGTAATCACTCTTCCTTATAACATTTTGCATTGATGGGGAAAAAAGGGGTGACCAAGAATATTTACAAGCTATTTGTTCTGCTTTATTCTTGTTATAATTTTAAAATCATCCTGTCTATAATATTAATACATGTTAGAGAATTCCTGGCTTTAACTTGCTCTTGAACTAGTCAATACTGGGAGCATGAAACAAAGAGACAATTGCTGCACTAAAACAATACCCTTAGACCTGCTAATGTTTTAGGTACTGAGCCTAATTGGTTGATTACTGATTTAAGAATCAACATCATAGAACAGCAGGCATACTCATAGATGCTCCGTCTCTCGCAGCAAATATCTAGATGTGTAGATATCTAGAGGTGTAGATGCTAACAGTTCCCATAGCACACTGATTATAACACACTGTTCTCTTCCTCTCATATGTCCCTTCCTGCTGGATCCACACCTAACAACTGAACATAAGCCAAACCATACGCATGATGATACAGAAAGAATAACACTAGTGTCAGTGTTGGGAAATCTCCAGCAGATGTGACACATTTGGTGCATGAATGGCTTTGGAAACAGTTTGAACAGAGCAATAAGAAGTCATAACAGTTGTAAGAATATTACGCTTCAGTTATTCTAGGTGGCTGCAGAATGTGACCAGTTTCTGTTCCTGTCAAGTTTCTCTAGAGATTCTGAAAATTATCCAGTTCTAACTGTGTAGACTGATTGATTATCCAGTTCTAACTGTGTAGATTGATTGATTATCCACTTCTAACTGTGTAGACTGATTGATTATCCAGTTCTAACTGTGTAGACTGATTGATTATCCAGTGCTAACTGTGTAGACTGATTGATTATCCAGTGCTAACTGTGTAGACTGATTGATTATCCAGTTCTAACTGTGTAGACTGATTGATTATCCAGCGCTAACTGTGTAGACTGATTGATTATCCAGTGCTAACTGTGTAGACTGGTTTGACCATAAAATATCTTTTCTGCTTGTTTAAATATGCTAAAAAAAAAAAAAATTGCCAATAACAGGTTTGCAAATAAGATTTGAAAAGACTGTGTTAAGGTAAAAACTAGGCAATTTCAAAAACGATGTCTGTTATAAGTGGTGCCAATGAAGACTAAAGATAATACATTGACAAATAACCCATACTTACCATGAAATGAATAAGTGACTCTGGCATGCAGTGTAAGGTCTGGGTCATAAGCGTATATCCGAGGACTTATGGGAACTATGGATCCCTGAACACAAGATAAATGTTACTGGTATAGACGATGAGCATTCTGTGTATAAATTGACAACATAAAGGAAAGAGGAGAGAAAAGCAGAAAAGTAGGTAGAGATATAAATATGAAAGACATAAAAGGAAAATATATACATGTGTGTGTGTGTGTGTTTATTTTTTTATATATGCAGAGTCAGAATTTTGTGGCTTAGGTATTGTAAACGAGTTTCATAGTTCCATAGTGCTGGATTCAGTCACAGTAGAGTGAGCATATCCTTGGAACAGTATCATTTTTAAGGTAGGTCAAGATTGTCCCGTCGATACTCAGCAAAGAAAAATTCCATTGTTCCAATCGACGGTGAGTGTCGACGGGACAGTCTGGGATATGGTCACCCTGAATCCCAGCTCAGGGGGATCTAGCAGCAAACTGCCTCATGTTGGTTTTGACAATGGTATCGAGAGCTGAGCATTCGGGAGCAATGGCAAACTACTGAATGTAAAATTTCCTAGTGAAATTTAAAACAGACAAAATATGCTATGTTTGGTTCTGCAGTGTCCTTCAAAAGACATGCAAATAAAACTAATAAACAGAGCCATGCAGAAAGAGAAAAAGCTGTGAAGAGGAAAGGAGTGATGAAGAGAAACAGAGAAAGAGACATCATCATGTAGTATGTCTTTTGCTGACCATTACTGTCCTTGCCAGAATGTCTCCTAATCCCTTGCAAAATTCCTGTGCCTATTACATCTTAATGTGACACATTTTTTCTTCTTCATTTGAGGCTTCAACTTATCACAAATGTGTCATCTCATAACTGCTCCACTCCTGTGCCAATAAAATCCACACAAAATGGCTATCACTCTCCCATGTGAAAAGTCAAATAAAAGTATTTCTTATATTCTGTGACCATCTTCTCTGTATAGTTTTTAAATTGTTATTTAATTGTGTTTGTAATGTTCTCTTTTTAAAGTGATCTTAAGTTGTCATATCACTAAAGTTGCATTTGTAAAAATACCTCTGGGTAAACAGTTGTCAAATGGTCATACCCCTGCACTTTATCAACAAAAAAAAAAAAAGGACAATATATACAGTTTTCTTAAAGATCTTTCTAGAAACTGTCGCACCAAAGATAGTTGTGTTTGGAATGAGATCTCTCTAGAAACTGCTGTTGACTCCTTCTGTAACGAGAAAACCATCTTACAGCTGTTGGATTCTACTTCTTTACTCCATATACTACACACAGTAGTTATATTCAATGACGTACACAATTGTTAGTCCAACTTCTTATATTTTCTTCTGTTTATTTGCATTCAACGACTGTAAACTCTAGTGGAATCATCCGGGGTGAAAAGAGGACGGAGCTGGTATGCTAGGATATTGAAACAGACAAGTAACAAGCTCTAGCAAAAAAATGCACATTTTGTGGTTCACTCATGGACTTTGGTCTTGTTACAGAACTTGAGTTCTGCATGCACATCCATTTTACAGATCTGGTTTATTGTATGCAGCCTGTTGGTTCCTCACCTCTCAATTAGATGCACTCCAACAACACTAATTTATCACTTCTCTTTAATAGGGCAGTGATTCTATCACCCTCCCCCACACCATAGTGGGACCCAAGAACCCACAGAGGGATCTTCTCTTTCATATTATTATTTGTATAACACATCCTGACTCAAATTTATTACTTAAAGTAAAACCTTTCTGGAATAGAATAAGTTCAATAATCTATGCCTAGTTGCCTAGTACTGAAAGAATTAAACAGACATACAATTGCGGTTGTGTTTGTAATGAGTCCTCTGTATAAAGTGCTGTTGAATATCGGATACTGATCATCCTGGTCCTCTACTATGATGTTCAGAGTACACGTGGAGTTGAACTGGACATTTCCGCTCTTGGGCTGGTCCTGTGATCAACAAAACCAACACGACAATGGTAAAAGTGGGTTAGGGATGAGAAGATGGAGCAAACATTCCTGCCTTATTTAGATGAAATAGTTATGAGTATGATCAAATAAGTACCTTTATATATTCATGTATGTTTCTGATTAATTTGTTAATGTGACTGTTTCATTTTGCAACTTTGTTTTCTCTCTTTACCCCTAACCCACTGCTACATCCACTTACACAAACACACATATTCATATGAGTGCATAAACACTTTCACATATGTGCGCACACACACATATCCATACATATAACATGTTTCTCATTGTCACAATCTCAGACATTATGCTCCTCTTACACAAAAGAACTGGCACCAGTATTGAACAAACCATGTAAAAAAAAGAAAAAAGAAGAATAAGGATGTAAAGAAACATGGATAATAATATAGTTTCAGCAACAGCAACCAGAAAACTTGCAGAAATGGACGGGAAAATCACCAGAGTGCCTTGTGGAGTACAAGTTCAGCAGTCAACATGAGGTTTGAGATGATAACCGATAAATAATTCCATCTGAGGTCTCCACGCTGTTGTGGTCAAGCCATTTGCTTGTGGGTTAGACTTTAGACTCCATTATTGATTCCTGACTTGAGATGTTTCAGAGGTACCTGGAGGTTGTCACTAGAGTAATGAAGCTCATGCTTTGTGCAATGCTCTCACATGTGACCACCTAATCTGGGGAGAGATACTGAGTCCTTTAAGATAAAACTCAGCACAACGAACTCAGTTGTCATGCTTTTTAACTCTTTAAACTCTGTCAGATAGTGGCTGTTACATATTTACACCTGTATGTGTACACAAAAATTACGTTTGACAAAGAGCTGCACAATTAGATCACTACTAACCGTTGCCATAATAGAAATAGAAAACCGTGGCAAGGTCTCAAAATCCAACTGCTTCTGCAGGGTCAGGTCTGTTGACAAAGGATTGCTGATTGTGAAGTACTCCTGGAATGGAAGAAAGCAAAATATCAAACATATTTGAGGATTTACCATCTTTGAAAGCTGAGATAGATGAAATGTGATAAAATACTGGTGAAATGACCCACTTTGGTAAGGAATAACACCATATCATGTCTTGTAGTTCTGCTCCTTGTTACATTTTGGATTTATATGATTTCCGGTAAAATATTATTATTATTTCAACTAATGTCATTTGATGAATACATGATGTTGTTTATACTTATGTCTCTTTGTCCACAGTAAGATATCAAGATATGGATTCTCAGGTAAGCTATAACCTACAACAAGGCATGTAAGACAACTGTACCCACAATATGATTAGACATGGAGTAAGCACTGCAGTTATGGTGTCTGAGACTTTATCCTGGTGGTATATGTAATAGGCTGAAAAAGACTATCAATGATTTTATTTAATCTGGTTTAAAAATGACAACGAGAAGACATAAACAGTTAGTTTTAGACATTAAGATGGGAAAAAATCTGGAAAGGTCTGGCCACTGGGTATAAAAGACTTTGTTTAGTTTTTCAGCGATCTATTTGACTTCCGGACAGACCCTGCGCTAACCTACCTAGCTGCTGCTACTTTGCGCAATGGGCCACTCAGCAGGTATGGCGACCGCAGGGAAAGGCCGTGGTCAGCTGATTTTGCAGGCGGTGGTACGTTCAATTGGCTAGGTAATGTTAGACTTTGATTTCCATTGTGCATCTTTGCTAGGAGATAGTTTGGTGGTAGGTGGCTATGAGTGATTTGTTGACATATTAAAACTTAACGCACATGTTAAATATGTTTCGGTTTTTGCCAATGGTTGAGGTAATCTTGCTGAGCGTATGGTGTCATTATCATATTTCCTTTTTAGTTGGAGATGATTCATGTTTTAGATTCTGGTCGAGCACGGTGTTGTTGTTAATGTCGTTATTTGTGGACTACGCTGATGTTATGTTGAGTAAAATAAATAGATGTTCAATGTAGTAATCATAGTTACAGTGGTTTTCCGTTCAGCTTAAGACTTGTAGTTAGTGTGCTTAGTTTAGTTTATTTGTTGCTTGTCTGATCTAGACTTTACACAGAAGATTTCTTGTCAGGGTGAGATATATTTGATCTCTCCCCCGCCTAAACGAACTTTTTATCTTTTTTCTTGTTACTGAGGCAGCTTATGGTTGGGTTGGCTCCCACTCGCCACGTGACATTGTTTAGAGCTCTTGTAGGAGTCGAGGAGATTTCAAGGAGTAGATTTCCACATTATCCTTTATAGTTATCTCTTCTCTTCTCCGCCATTATAAGGTACCCCCTCTGTTTTGCTTCTAGTACATATAAATACAAGAACTATAACTAAAATAACTATAAGTTTCTGAAAGTTTATCATATGCTGCTGAGCATGGATGACTACATTTTACAGACACAAGACCTGTGATAAGATTAACACCCTGGACATGTAGTGGCCTGCTCCTTTTATGTCTTCAGTGAAAACACAAATACTTAATATTAGTAAATCCATCCATCATGTGAGTTGGCATGAGGTCTACAGACAACACTTATTAAACTACTGAGTAGGCTAGCAGTAAATTTGTAAACATTATTCTCTACAGTAGTCTAATTGTAAACATTATTCTCTACAGTAGTCTAAAAGTTATGTGCTATATTGTTTGATGTTTGTAGTGTATTTCCTAGTTTCAGTGAAGGAGAATAAGAAAGCAGAGCAGTGTGTGTGTGGTCTGTGACTACTTGACTTGTAAATAGAGTCACCTTGTAGGGACCATTGACAATACTGTAATATATGATGTTGTAGTCTGGAGTGGCATCATGATCAGTGGCTGTGACTCCAGTCTGGATGGTGCTGTTCACTTCTGTCATCTGTTCATAGAATGTGCTTAGAGTTAGATGTTTTATTTCTTTGAACTTCAGAAACAGAACATGTATATAGCTGATGGAAAGAGGAACAAACATACACATATGAAATAATTCATTCCCATGTGGATTTTGCCATTTTGATTGGAAAAAGAATAGGCCCACTGCTCCCTAACAAGCGTCCCATTAAAGTCGACTAATTAAGGGTTTTTCTTTCAAGGTTGGTGTGCATCTGCATGAGATGCGAGCAATTGACAGTCTGCATTAG